TATAAGAGTATAATTATAAAATTTTATAAGAGTATAATTATAAAATTTTATAAGAGTAATAATCATTCAAAATTTCAAAATTAAGTATTTCACCTTTATTCCTTGACTAAATTCCCACAAAGGGTCAAAATTTTGAGTATCCATCAAGCTCCTAAAAAACAAAATTAACGTCATATACAAATCGGACTCGGAACATCTCAATATTTCTATAAACACAAAATCTCTTATAAAGATTGAAGAGATCGGAACATTACTTCTGCTACCTCCCCCACAGAGGATCAAAATTTTGACTATCAATGGCGCTCATAAAACTTAAAATTAACATTCGATTCCATTTAGACTTGGTACATCTCGATATTTCCACCAACATAATATTTGTTATAATGATGGTAGCTATCGGACCATTCCTTCTGGTACCTCATCCGCATAGGGATCAAGATTTTAAAAAACCAAACGCTCAAAGAAAACGATATAAGCATCAATTCTCTTTAAATTTCAAACATACAAACATTTTTGCTAACCCATGAACTTTTGTGAAGATTATATATATCTGCGAACCCCTTCTGGTATCTCACCCACAAAGAGTCACAATTTTCAATACATTCATCTGTCATAATTTGTGAAACAAGCCAGCGATTCTTAACAACTTGCTATATCTAAATTTTTGCCCATACCAATATCTATTTTTATATCAGTCCAAAAGTCCTGAATTTTGATACACCCAACTGAATTCAGTCTAGAAGGAAGTACATTGAATTCAGAGAAAATCGGTTCAGCTATAGCTCCCATATATATGTTTCATCCGATTTGGTGTTTAAGTCCCCCACATTCGTAGTATCCATTCGACAACAATGATATTTGATACCAGATATCTTATAGAGTTCAGAAATACATCAGCCAAATTTAATAAAGATCGGTTCAGATTTGGATATAGTTTCAGATTTGGATATTCAACCGATTTCGGATAAATTGTGCACCAAATGATCAATATCAGCCTCAAAGTCCTGAATTGTGTTGTATCCGACCGTTTCATCCGATTTGGTGTTTAAGTCCCCCACATTCATAGTATCCATTCGGCAACAATGATGTTTGGTACCAGATATCTTATAGAGTTCGGAAATACCTCTGCCAAATTTTATAAAGATCGGTTCAGATTTGGATATAGTTTCAGATTTGGATATTCAATCGATTTCGGATAAATTGTGCACCAAATGGCCAATGTCAACCTCAAAGTCCTGAATTTTATTGTATCCGACCGAATTCTGTCTAGAAGCAGGTACATCAAATTTGCAGAAAATCGTTTCAGATATAGCTATATCTTCCATATTTAGGTTCCATACGATTTGCTGTTTAAGTCCCCCACATTCGTATTATCCATTCGACAACAATGATATTTGGTACCAGATATCTTGTAGAGTTCGGAAATACCTCTGCCAAATTTTATAAAGATCGGTTCAGATTTGGATATAGTTTCAGATTTGGATATTCAACCGATTTCGGATAAATTGTGCACCAAATGGCCTATATCAGCCTCAAAGTCCTAAATTTTGTTGTATCTGACCGAATTCTGTCTAAAAGCAGGTACATCAAATTTGCAGAAAATCGTTTCAGATATAGCTATAGCTCCCATATATATGATTCATACGATTTGGTGTTTAAGTTCCTGAAATTCGTAATATCCATTCGACAACAATGATATTTGGTACCAAATATCTTATAGAGCTCGGAAATACCTTTGTCCAATTTTATCGAGATCGGATAAGATTTGGATATAGCTCCTATATATATATCCTTAATTCGATTTCAGGTTTATTGTGTAAGTAATGGCTAATATCAGAGTGAATAGATAGAGTGAATTTGGGGACGTACATTTCAATTTGGTGGAACTCGGCTCCGAAATATATCTTTTAATATATTCCTTCTCATGCTCTCTAAAGCAATGTTATTTGGTATAAACGATTAAAATATCTCCGTCAAATTTAATGAAAATCGATTCAGAATTGAATAAGCTTACCATATATTAGTTCCCTCTGAAACCAAACTATAACTGCTCTAAAGCCAAATGTTGATAGGAGGTATGATCTATTTCAAATAAATTCTTTTGGTGCCGGAGTTCTACTAAATATGCATAGTGGTGTAGGGGATCATATGGTCGGCCCGACCGATTTTTGAATTTTCCTTACAGATTTTATCTGTATTAGATGAAGTATGAGAATGGAATGATTCGGTCGACTACATCTGCCACCTCACGTACAATTTAACATTTTTATACCCTCCACCATAGTATGGAGGGTATATTAAGTTTGTCACTCCGTTTGTAACACCTCGAAATACACATTTTAGACCCCACAAAGTATATATATCCTTGATCAGCATAAAATTCTATGTCGATTTACAGATGTCCGTCCGTCTGTGGAAATCTCTCTAGCTTCCGGACGAATTGAAGTAGATTGATAAAATTTTGCTCAAATGTATGTTATGTCTGCAGGACTTTTGGTATTGAAAATGGGCCATGTAGGTCCACGTTTTGGTATAGCCCCCATATAACGGTACCTCCCGATATTCGGTATTTTGATGATTTTAGCGAATTTATTCACCGGAATTGTTTCAAATTTGATATTTAAAGATCGTAATGGATGCTACAGCCTAAGACAAAAAATTGTCTGTGCAGGTCCACGTCTTCGTATAGCCCCCCATATGACGGTACCTCCCGATATTCGGTATTTTGATGATTTCAACGAATTTATTCACCGGAATTGTTTCAAATTTGGTATTTGAAGTTCATAATTGATGCTACAGCCTAAGACAGAAAATTGTCTGTGCAGGTCCACGTCTTCGTATAGCCCCCATATAACGGAACCTCCCGATATTCGGTATTTTGATGATTTTAGCGAATTTATTCACTGGAATTGTTTCAAATTTGATATTTAAAGTTCGTAATGGATACTACAGCCCAAGACAGAAAATTGTCTGTGCAGGTCCACGTCTTCGTATAGCCCCCCCATATAACGGTACCACCCGATATTCGGTATTTTGATGATTTTAGCGACATTTTTCACCGGAATAGTTTCAAATTTGATATTTAAAGTTCGTAATGGATACTACAGCCTAAGACAGAAAATTGTCTGTGAAGGTCCACCTCTTCGTAAAGCCCCCATATAACGGTACCTCCCGATATTCGGTATTTTGATGATTTTAGCGACATTTATTCACCGGAATAGTTTCAAATTTGGTATTTGAAGTTCATAATGGATGCTACAGCCTAAGACAGAAAATTGTCTGTGCAGGTCCATGTCTTCGTATAGCCCAAATATAACGGTACCTCCCTATATTCGGTATTTTGATGTTTTTAGCGACATTTTTCACCGGAATTGTTTCAAATTTGGTATTTGAAGTTCATAATGGATGCTACAGCCTAAGACAGAAAATTGTCTGTGCAGGTCCACGTCTTCGTATTGCCCCCATATAACGGTACATCCCGATATTTGGTATTTTAATAATTTTAAAGACATTTTCCATCAGAATTGTTTCAAATTTGATAATTGAAGTTCGTAATGGATACTACAGCCTAAGACAGAAAATTGTCTGTGCAGGTCCTGGTCTTCGTATAGCCCCCACATAACGGTTCCTCCCGATATTCGGTATTTTCATTTTAGCGACATTATAACCGATCTTTTTTATTTTTCACATTTGCTACCTACGCAGGTTCATGTCGTCGTATAGACCCTAATATAATTGCTACATTCGGTATTTTTAAGATTTTAACAGAAGTTTTAACTGATTTTATTGTTTTTGAGAATTGCCAAACTCGTTCCAAATGGTGGACTCTATTCAAAGTTCGACCCGGCCGAACTTACAGCTTTTTTACTTGTTATACCCTACACCACAAGGTGGTCAGGGTATTATGTCTTTGTGCATTTGTTTGTAACAGGCAAAAGGAAACGAGATAGACCCATAGTTCCTTTTCATGATTTGCATAGAATCACATTCTGAGTCGATTTATGCATGTCCGTCCGTCCGTCTGTCCATGTATTTTTGTGAACAAAGTACAGGTCGCATTTATTGCCCTATCCAGATGAAATTTTGCACATATCATTTGTTTGGCCCAAGGACGAAACCTATTGAAATTGGAGATAATCGGTCAAAATTTAGATATAGCTCTCATATATATCTTCGTCCGATTTGCTTTTTATTGTGCACCAAACGTGTAATATCAGCCCGAATAGTATGGAATTTTGCACATACAACCAAATTAGACCTGAAAATAAGTATGCCAAATTTTATCGAAATCGGTTCAGATATAGCTATAGCTCCCATATATATTGTTCATCCGATTTGTTATTTTTGTCCTCCGCAGCCGTAATATGCACTCCGTAATAACGATATTCAGGGAAATATATCAAATACAGCTCAGAAATATCTTTGCCAAATTTTATCGAGATCGGTTCCGATTTGGATATAGCTCCCATATATATTTTTATCCGATTTCAAATTAATTGTGATCGTAACAAAAGTCAAAATATATTTAAATAATCGAATATTGGCTGAGGGTATACATCTGTCGGCACAACCGACTAAAACTTTTTAACTTGTTTATATCATCTATTTCAAGCTAAGGACATAATCACCACTTTTAAGTCCTTCCAAAAATTATCCTTGGTAGATTTTTGTGATTTCCAAACGTAAATTTACATCTCAGTATTAAGACAATTCTATTTTCAATTTTTCACACTGTCTACATATGTATGTTGTACATTTTGATCGTTAACATTTATACATGTTAATTAATCTCTTAAAAAAAAAACACTTTAATACTCTCATTTGCCAATTAACTTTTTTTTTTTCAAATGAGGTTTATATCTCTTTTATCTCCTTCTTTTTTTGGATACATTTGTTATTGGTGTGTTATTGTTTTTTTAATTTCAATTTAACGTTCCGCTTTTTTGCATTTTTATTTTTGATTTTATTGTCACTGAGGAAGAATATGAAGATGCACCAACCTTGAAATACTGCCGAGACACAAATCTGTTAATCATTTTGATAATTCAAGTTAATTATTTTTTTTTGGGGTTTTTCGTTTTGGGTTTTATCTATTTTTGTTTCTTGGCTACGTGTCTTCTTTAACTTTCGAAAGTTTCTCGTTCCCGTATATGCCCAGTAGGGGTGCTAGTTGCTTGGATGGGGTTTGTCAATGGCAAAAGTGAAGTGAATTTCGCGGCAATTCAGTTTTGAACGCTAACCGTAGTCTGTACCCGCCGAACACTCGATGTTAACTGCAACGGTGAATATTTCAAACTGATTTGTCGGTTAGATTTAAAAATTTCGTATTATTTATAAATTTGCACATGAAATGGTTTGAAGTGTGCGATTTTTGCAGTGGCATTTTTAAATGCAAACACACACACACACAAACACGTGCGAACTCTATGCGCTTGAGCAGAAACGAGTGTATAAGAGTTTTTTTTATACCCTACACCATAAGGTGGTCAGGGTATTATGTCTTTGTGAATTTGTTTTGTAACAGGCAAAAGGAAACGAGATAGACCCATAGTTCCTTTTGATGATCTGCATAGAATCACATTCTGAGTCGATTTATGCATGTCCGTCTGTCCATGTATTTTTGTAAACAAAGTACAGTTCGCATTTATTGCCCTATCCAGATGAAATTTTGCAAAAAATCATTTGTTTGGCCCAAGAAAGAACCCTATTGAAATCGGAGATAATCGGTGAAAAATTAGATATAGCTCCCATATATATCTTCGTCCGATTTGCCTTTTATTGTGCACCAAACGTGTAATATCAGCCCGAATAGTATGGAATTTTGCGCATACAACCAAATTAGGCCTGAAAATAAGTATGCCAAATTTGATCGAAATTGGTTCAGATATAGCTATAGCTCCCACAGATATTGTTCATCCGATTTGTTATTTTTGTCCTCCGCAGCCGTAATATGCGCTCTGTGACCAGAATATTTGGGGAAATATATCAAATACAGCTCAGAAATACATTTGCTAAATTTTATCGAGATCGGTTCAGATTTGGATGAAGCTCCCATATATAACTTCGTCCGATTTACCTTTTATTGTGCACCAAACATCTAATATTTGTCCAAATGGGATGGAATTTTGCACATACAGCCAACTTAGGCCTGAAAATAAGTATGCCAAATTTTATCGAAATCGGTTCAGATATAGCTATAGCTCCCATACATATTGTTCATCCGATTTGTTATTTTTGTCCTCCGCAGCCTTTATATGCACTCTGTGACAATAATATTTGGGGAAATATATCAAATACAGCTCAGAAATATATTTGTTAAATTTTTTCGAGATCGGTTCAGATTTGGATATAGCTCCCATATATAACTTCGTCCGATGTACCATTTATTGTGCACCAAACGTCTAATATTTGTCCAAATGGGATGGAATTTGGCACATACGACCGAATTGAGTCTTGGAGCCAGTATGTCAAATTTGGTGAAGATCGGTTCAGATATAGCTATAGCTCCTGATTCATCCGATTTGTTATATTTGTTACCCACAGCCGTAATATGCATTCCGTAACAACGATATTCAGGGAAATATATCAAATACAGCTCCGAAATATCCCTGTCAAAATTTAGCGAGATCGGTTCAGATTTGGATATAGCTCCCATATATATTGTTCATACGATTTGTTATTTTTGTCCTCCGCAGCCGTAATATGCACTCTGTGACAACAATATTTGGGGAAATATATCAAATACAGCTCCGAAATACATTTGCTAAATTTTATCGAGATCGGTTCGGATTTGAATAAAGCTCCCATATATAACTTCGTCCGATTTACCTTTTATTGTGCACCAAACGTCTAATATTTGTCCAAATGGGATGGAATTTGGCACTTACGACCGAATTGACTCTAGAAGCTAGTATGTCAAGTTTGGTGAAGATCGGTTCAGATATAGCTATAGCTCCCGATTCATCCGATTTGTTATATTTGTCACCCACAGCCGTAATATGCACTCCGTAACAACGATATTCAGGGAAATATATCAGATATAGCTCCGAAATATCTTTGCCAAATTTTATCGAGATCAGTTCAGATTTTGATATAGCTCCCGTATATATCTTTATCCGATTTCAAATTAATTGTGCACCAAATGGGCAATACAAGTCCGAATTTAAAAGATACAAATGCTTCGGCATATTTAGTCCTTTGAACTTTAAATTATAAATATAATCATAGCGTGTATGATTGAATTCTCTCATAAAAACTTTTAATTGTTATGTGGAGCTCTACTAAATTAGCAAAGTGGTGTAGGGTATCATAAAGTCGGCCCCGCCCGACTTTAAGACTTTCTTTACTGGTTTTGCTATGTATAAGAGTGTTGGGGTTTGGATTGGAAAACTGTTTGAATATTTGGGATTAATATATTACAGGTGAATGGAATGTTTGGAAACATGTCAGACCTTCCTTGTTGTGTGGGAGATGGACAGAAGATATTTTCTGTTTTTTTTTTTTTTAAACAAAAAATATTCGGATATTTTAATTATTGGAAATTTCCTAAATATATTACCATTGAGAGTATGCATTTATTTTATATCGCGTATTGGCCTTTTTTCATATCGTCATTTAAGAATGTTAAACGTTATGGCGTTGAAATGATTTATTCATACATTTTTGTTTCAATAATTTTACAAATTTGGTTCAACCTTTCCAAACATAGACAATTTTCGAAAAATATAAATTAAAATAAAAATTATTGAGATGTCTGCCTTGAGAATTTTTTTCTTTTGGCTTCGCAAAGCATTTCCTTATTTCCAATTTAATTCGAAATATTTATATATCATCGAAAAAAAAAAAAACACATCATCAATAACTTGCTTTAAATCGAACGTCATTATATGTCTGAATTTAGATGCAAATCTAACGATTTAGAAATAAATTAATTCCAGTGAACTCAAAAATGTTTGTTGGAGAAAAAAAACGCAAGATCTGAACGTTTAAAAGCTTCGCCATAGGGAATACAAAATTTGTTTGATAGTATTTTGAAGAGATATCGCCATATTTTGGAACTTATTTCCCTTACTTCGACCAATGTACGGTAAGATTAAGAGACGCCATTCGGAGTGGAGTAATGACTGAGTGGCTGAATTATTAACACCCAGGCGAGACGGTTGAAGCTAGAATCCTATAATGTTGCACGTACGGCAATGCTTGTGTATAGGGGTGAGATATGAGATTTTCGGAATTTCGGACAATAAGTGCAGCAAAAATACTAAAAGTTACTAAACATTACAGCTAGAATTCTGAAATGTCAGCGACCCTGAAATGAGAATCATGTACCAAAGAAGAAGAAGAAGTAGATACCGACAGATGTATGGCCTCAGCCAATGTTCGATTATTTAAATATATTTTGACATCTGTTATAATTATTTAAATTGTTCACCCTCTATGGGGTAGGTTCCGAAGGAATGGGCCAATCATGTCCATTTCGTATCGGACCTAGATAAATATTATACAAATATTGCGAGGTGCCAGGTTCAGCCTATTGTGACAGCAAAAATACTAAAAGGTAGTAAACATTGCAGCTAGAAATCTGAAATTTAGAATGAGGCCAGCGACCCTGAAATGGGATTCATGTACCAAAGAAGAAGAGGAAGAAGAAGTAAAAGATAAAAACAAGTAAAAAAGTATCAGTCAGTTTTACAGACAGATGTATACCCTCAGCCGATTATGTTCGATTATTAAAATATATTTTGAATCGTGTTATGATTATTCAAATTGTTGACCTACTTTAGAGTATGTTCCGAAGGAATGGGCAAATCTTGTCCATTTCGTGTCGGACCTAAATAAGTATGATATAAATATTGCGACGTGTCAGGTTTGGACTATACAGGGTGAGATGAAAAAACTGCAACCAACTTCAGACTGCTCTCATTTCCAAGCCACTCTTCCGACAGCTGTTAAAATTATTCCAGTGACAGCTCATTATATTTTTTACAAGCCTACTATTGCTATTGTTAGAGCACTCCAGCATTTAAATGTAAATAAATCTTTTGTGTCTCATACAATCGCTCTTTACCGTGATACTGGTAGCGTAGCCCGACGTCAAGGAAGTGGACGGAAGAAAACAGCAACATCAGCAGAAATGGTTCGAAAACTAAAGAAGCGATTTGATCGAACCCGAAAAATGCCGAAAAGTACTCTTGAGCTGAACATATCGGAATATTCCATTTGGCAAATATTGAAAAATGAGCTCGAGGTAAAGCCATTGAAATTCCAAAAAGTGCAAGAACTCGAAAGAGCTAAAGAGTTGCTTCGCTTGGCCGAAAGTGGTGAACTGCCAAATTTGGGTTTCTCTGTGTCCGATGAGAAAACATTTGTTGTCCAGCAGTTTGTAAACAAACAAAATGATCGTGTTTACGTGCCAAAGAGGTCAGCTGAGAATGTGCACCTTCGGTTGGCCACCAGAACCCAATAGTCGCTCTCCGCTCATATTAGTCGACCGTGGCATCAGAATAAATGCAGAATATTTTGGCCGCAGACCTTGGACATTCCAACAAGTCTCAGCACCATCGCACTCAGCACGCGACACCCAAGAATGGTTGCAAAATGAGGTCCCTCGCTTCATTTCCAGCGCACAATGGCCAATAAAATCTCCGGATACTAATCCGTTTGGCTATTGTGTCTGAAGTATTTTGGGAAGCAAGGTTGGCACTAAAAAGTACTAAGGTGTCGATTACCTCAAGCAAGCGCTTCGCCGGGAATGGGCCAAAATACCTCAGAACAATATTGGGGCAGTTTGAAGGCCATAATTCGTGCCAAAGGTGACCAATTTGAACAAATCTAAACTTATTCTAAAATTTGATGCGATTTCCGACATTTTTTGCTTTCATTTAATAAAATTTAAAAAAAAAGTAAAAATTATGGCATTTTACTTGGTTGCGGTTTTTTTTATCTCGCCCTGTATGTATAGTGGAGGGTATAAAAAACTGATTATCATTTCCCTATACCGAACACCGCTTGCGCTTGACCTGTCACATTTAAAACCAGTAAAGAAAGTCTTAAAGTCGGGCGGGCCGACTTTATGATACCCTACACCACTTTGCTAATTTAGTAGAGCTCCGCATAAAAATTAAAAGTTTTTATGAGAGAATTCAATCATACACGCTATGATTATAATTTAAAGTTCAAAGGACTAAATACGCCGAAGCATTTGTATCTTTTAAATTCGGACTTGTATTGCCCATTTGGTGCGAAATTAATTTGAAATCGGATAAAAATATATATGGGAGTTATATCCAAATCG